CATGAGCAGCAAAAGAGACAATAGACAAATCAGAAATCATCAAAATTAAAGTTTTTTGCCTCAAAGGACACCATCAAGAAAGTGGACAGAACAAATGGGAGAAAATTTTTGCAAAACAGATATCTGAAAAGGGACTTACTTACATTAGAATATATAAAAAACATAGCTCTATAATAAAAGGACACATTACCCCATTTAAAAAGTAGGCTAAGGGTCTGAATAGATGTTTCTCCAAAGATATATAAATGGCCAATGAGCACATGAAAAGGTGCTTGACATCATTAGTCATCAGGAAAATGCAAATCAAAACAACAGTGAAATGCCATTTTGCACCCACTGGGATGGCTAGAACCAGTGTTGGTGAGGATGTGGAGGAGACGTAACTCTCACACACTGCTGGTGGGAACGCAAAATGATCCAGTCACTTTGGGGAACAGTCTGGCATTTCCTCCAATGACTAGGCACAGCAACCATCTGAACAGACCAATTCCACTCCTAGGCCTGTGTCTAAGAGAAAGGAAAGCTTATAAATCCACACAGGAACTTGTAAATGAACTTCACAGCAGCATTATTCATAGTAGCCAAAAGGCAGAAACAACCCAAATTCGCATCAATTGGACAGATGGATAAACAGCTGTTGTGGTGCATCCATTCCATGAAATATTACTGGCTCATAACAGGGAATGAAGTACTGACACCTGCTACCATGTGAATGGACCTTGGAAATATGTGAAGTGAAAGAGGCTGGACACAGAAGGCCACATACTTCATGAGTCCATTCATAAGAAACCTCAAAATAAGGAAATCTACAGAGACGGAAAGTCACTATAATGACTACAGAAAGTCACTATAATGACTACAGAAAGTCACTACAATTAAAAAATACCTAATCTTGGGCCAGCCTGGTGGCGCACTGGAGAGTGCGCTGCTTGGGAGCGTGGTGGCGCTCCCGCTGAGGGTTCTAGAGACGGAAAGTCACTATAATGACTACAGAAAGTCACTATAATGACTACAGAAAGTCACTACAATTAAAAAATACCTAATCTTGGGCCGGCCTGGTGGCGCACTGGAGAGTGCGCTGCTTGGGAGCGTGGTGGCGCTCCCGCTGAGGGTTCGGATCCCATGTGGAGACTGGTTCCCACTCACTGGCTGAGCGCGGTGCGGGCACAACACCGAG